ATCTTAAAACCTTAAAAATTAACAACTCATATAATTAGAATTGTGCACTTAAAGATTAAAAAGAAATCCAGGGCAGTAACAGAAAACAAAACCATCTCCTTTAAAAGTTTCTTGCTGTCATGTATGTAACTCTGTTTGTGTCTGAATTTCATGGCAAATAAGTGAATCTGTTCTCTTAGAATTACGATAAACAATAGTTGACTAGTCAAAATGATCAAGCAACAAAAGGACAAATTGAAAAATTAGGAATATGTCTTGTAGAAAGTATAACTTGTAAGTCTTGAAAATTATTCATAAATTTCACAAAATATGTTCTTGTTTATCTTTATGAGCCCTATTAGCCTATCTTATTTCCTCAAAGCCTGCCCATACAAAGGAAAGGAGAATGAAGCTCAGAAATTCTCAACCATCTACAAATGACCAGTGCATTGCACCCTAAGGAACTCAATAATTACCTAATAAGCAAAAGGCATGAAAATGACATTGCTGCTCTCCTAAAGTGGCTTATATAAAACTACCCTAATATCTTCCTAACAACTTCTATGTCAAAAATTGAAAGAAATTACATAAAAATCCCTTCCCTAAAAGTCCACGTTCCATGTAATTCAACCACTTGTGCACACTGTGCTCCTAGTGTTTCACTATTTTTTTCACTGAAGAAAAGTATTCCTTGCTTTTATTCAAAATAAAAGCTACAAGTCACAACTAACACTTACTTTGGGGTTCAGATCTACCAAAGCACCTATCTACCAAAGAGACTCAACTGTTTTTAAAAACATTTTTGCACAGCTGAGAAAAAAAGTCTAAAAGCCACTGTTTCATTTCTCAGACCTAATTTATTTTTAGGATAATCCCACAGATAGAAGGGATTAAAATCCAATATTCAAAACCCGAGTTGTAATGAAACCTATATGCACTTAAGGTTCATTTTGGTGTCATAATTTCTCATCTAAACTTAACATCATTATACACTCTTACATTGAAAGTGTTACCAAATTATGCAAAACAGGACATCCGGACAGTTTGCAAGTTATTATTGTTCAAGCATCCTAAGTGGGATTCTTTTGTTTATTTTGGTTTGGCTATTTTTCCAACCACATCATTCTACTGCTTAAACATTACAATGTTTTGTGTGGCAGGAAAATGCTCTAGATACCTGACACAAGCACTTGAGTATCAGAAGCATTAAGCAACCACACAGATATAAAAATCCCAGCATTTGATCTGAAGTTCATTCAAACCTAAAGAAAAGCATTCTCTGGTGATGGAAATTATTCTAGTCCCTAAACACTAAAATTTCTAAATCACCTTATCATTTAAAAAGGAAGATCAAGAAGAGTCAGGTGTGTGGGTAAACTCTTTCAGCAGATAAAATAGTACTAGGGCTTTCACTAAAATTTGGAGTACTGCCACTGATGACTACCATTGGCAGGACTTTTGATGATTGCCATTTCTTATCTTTTCATGACACGTTCACCAAAGAAATTCCTGACTCATCCCAAATTGTGCTATCCTGAAGAATCTATTCTTCCTATAGTTGAAAGCTTTCATTCAAATAGTACTTCTTACTATAAGTTTTGTTTTTTGAGAATATTTTGGCAATGTTATTCAATTAATATTTGTTTCATGTCAATATTTTTGCACACAGCCAGAAATAAAATATTTGTGTGATAGGACAAATACTAATGAGAATTTTGAGACAGATGGGTTGTTCTGGGGAGGAACCATAAAAACAAAGCCTAACTTACAATGAATGTGCTTTAAACTCCCTATCTTCTTCAAAATAAATGAAAAATTTTTTAGTAAGAATGATAAACTAACATCTGACTAGAAGAGAACCAACAGCAAATAATATAGTTGGTTGTCTTCATCGCCCCAATTAAATACAAAAGCAGCAGATAAAATCTGATGTGCAGCAATAAAGTTGCCTCTTCTAATGCACAAATTTCCATCTAAATTTAATAGGCAATAAAAAAAATTCCACATTTGAATATGCATTACAACAATATCTAACATTTAGTGTAACATGCCAGGTACTGCTTCTAAGTGTAGTACATATATTTTTCATTTTATCCTCAGAACCTATGGGGTAAGAAATATTATCCCCATTTTACAGGTGATGTAACTAAGGCACAAAATGTTTATGTAAACCTGCACAAGGTCGCAAAAGAAATAATTTGTGGATCCAAAAATTTCACCAACTAATCTGGCTCCAAATCATTACGTTAAGCTGCCAATAAGATAGTGTAGTCAATGTGCTTTGCAAATGGTAAAATGTGCAAATGTAAAGTTGTACTGACACAGGCTTTGTTGTCATATCTAGGGTCAAGTCCCCTACTATGTGAACCTGAGTAAATCACTGAACTCTTCTAAGCTTCAATTTTCTGTCAATAAAAATAAAGATAATGAAGAAACAGGTCTTACTTCATAGGGTTGTTGGTAGGATTAGGGACATTAAGCATGTAAGGAGCAGAATGCTTGGCACACAGGAAGCACTCCAAAAATGTTCATTATTACTAGCCATTACTAAAAATTCTTTTTATTTTCATAAACACTTATCTTAGTACTGGTGGAATTTTCTAAAATAAGTGAAATCCATCAATATTGAGAGAATAAAAGTTTATGAAATTAGGACCCAAAGTCTCAAAGTATATGATAGCACAATTTTGAGATAGAAACAGTTACTACTTGTATTAACAGCATTACCAAATATTTATTTAAAGTGCCTGGGTATACATAAAAATGTGCTAGGCACTATCCAAAATTATCAAGACATAGTCCCTGACATCAAAAATACACAATAATGGAAATTAATTCTGCTGAGTGGGCACAAACAGCAAAACCTCCAACTTTGGACATTTTCCCAACCAGATGCACCTATGATCTTTCTCCCACTCTGCTTGTGGTGGTGTAGTGATGAAAATATGTAGAGGAAGAAGCTTGAAAACCATAAACCTCTCAAATACAGTGTAGAGGAATAAAAATTCAGAAGGAAATGAGCTGTACTTTTCATACTCTTATCTTCCTAAAAAACATTTTAGCTACCTTGGTACTAATCATCTCTGTTAATTAACCAGAAGAAAAAAGGCAAGATAAGAGCTGGAACCTCAGAGAAAAAGGGTACAGAAACAAATTGTGACAGGAAGAATGAATTTGGAAAGTCAGAAAAGCCAAAATAATTGTACGTAAATTTAAGTGAAACATGTCTTTATTGTGCACTGTACCTTGTGTTTAATGTCTTAGAAATCAAACTAACGGCTGTTCCTAAAATTGCTGACCCTTACTCCTTTTAAGTCCCAAGGTTCCCTCTAGCTTTTAAAGTCAAAGAGAGGGGAAAGATAGCATAGAGTGTAGAAGGATTTTGCCTAACAGCATAGCCAACATCACACAGCACTTATCTTAAGAGAGTTATGGCTAAGTCATAATCCTAGTAGTCTATAGATTCCATTAGAAAAGTAACTTCTACAACTCTAAACTAAGGACCTAGAATATTTCTATGAGCCCCTGAAGGAAACCTGGAAACCTAACTTCTAAAATGTTTAGTAGCATTTCTATCTCATTTCCAGAGGTCATGCTGTCTTCTGCAACTTCATAACAGGTAATGGCAGTCACTTATGCCTGCCTATCTCTGTATTTATTTGCCATATCTACAAGAACATTTCTCTTTTATACCCGTAACCTAAAGGCCAAGCAAAATCACAGACCTCCCTGCTAATGCATCCGCAGGCTCTTTAAACTGAGTAGAACAGACTATTGACAATTAAGCAACATAACAAATACATTTTCCTAAAAAAATGTGAAGGTACTTTTCAGAAATAAAAGCAATCTGTGTCAACCAAAAACTTAGCTCATATATACAAAACTAGGCAAAAAACTAAGGATGGGTAATATACATATATTCTTCAAAGGTTTTCTCTGTAAAGTAAGAAGTAAAGGGCAGGGTGAGGGGGGTGAATAGAGACATACACAAAAAATGGTGTTGTATATTCAAGGCACATTCTAATGAATACCTGCCCACCTGATTAGCCATACCTTATCTAGCTCTCATTTGCACTATCCAAATTTATGAAGTTGAAGTGCAAGCTATACCTATTATTGTTTCCTCTCCTCCACCACACTTAAGAATGGAAAGTACCTTTAGGAAGAAACATAAGTTGAATTCTATAGAAAAACTCTAATTGATCAAAGAGCAGCAAAGATGGATATAATTTATAGCCAGAGATGTTTCTTAATATAGAGTAAGCAGTTTCTGATGACTTTATCTGCTTTACTCCTCACTACAACAATAAAAAGTCATCTTAATATGTGCTTATGAAGCCTACGTGCAGAAAAGCTGCTGGCACAAATTTCTCAGGCTTTTCCAAGCCTCAAGCCTAAGCCTCTGAAATGACAGAGGTCAACAGTCCAAATAAAACAAATAAGTATGGAAAATGAAGACCAGAAAGGAATAGGAAGAACAAATACTTGCTAATAACTTCTTATTTGCTGCACCTTTCTAAACTGGTCCTAGTTGAGCCTCTAATTGTTATGTCTGCCATGATCCATTAATTCAGCTATTAAAATGTTCCCAATCTCTCTAGGCCCTTATAATTGAGGTAAGTCCTGACAAACTGTTATTTTTTCTACATAACCCAGATGAAATCTTTTGAAAGTTCCTGGAACTCTCATTTCCTCCTTCTAAACTCCTGTTCTTTGGCCCTAGAATTATTACAGAGAAGAAATACTGTGAATGGTCCTATAGAAACAGGCAGTTAGAAAAAGAGAATTTCAGCCAATTGGGCTCCCTTCCTCCAGCATCAAGCAATTTTTCTTTCTTTCCTATATAATATTTAACAAGTAAACAGAGAGAAAAGGCTGACATACAGATGAGAGGATGCCACAAAGAGCTACCCCAAGCTTTTTAGGAACCTTCCTATCTTTTCACTGGTTATAGGTACTCAGTCTGGAAAACATCTTTGGAATATGTCTTGTGTAGGAATGCATAAAAGATAACACCTTGCAAAAGTCAAACATACAGGTTTAATAATGTGCAACTAATGAAGATGGTTTATAAATGAAATACCACCTACACATTTAGTTCCCTAAATATATTATACTATTAGTCATTAAAGTTAGACCTACAAGTACAAATTTTCCATATGTGGAAAAATTAAATCCGTTTTTAAATTAAAGAGAAATTATTACTCTATTTCTTAAAAATAAAACTATCAGGATATAATTCAAGTGTAGCTGCTCATAGTCACTGAATAAGTTTAAATTTGATAATAAAACATTTAAGTTTCAACCAATGCACCTTTGTTGAAGCACATTTAGCTGAAATAACTTTGAGTCTGGTTTATTTCCATCACATATAGTACATTTTTCCAACAAGAGCATGTACATTCAATATAGAACATTTCCAGCAACAGTTACAGTCTTTCTAGTTTCCTTTCACAGTATATTTTAGTGCAAAGCACTGGGAAGGGTAAATGTTTTTCTAGCTATAGAATCATTTTATTAAGACCTTGTGGATCTTCAACATTTTAAAATTTTGTACAAAAAGTATATAGATGGACAGGGTCCCTCCTAAATACAGGTATAAATCTATATAAAAACATGGTATATTTTCTGCTGTACCTTTTAAAATTATAATTTGACACAAAATCTAAAAAATAAAATAGTCCCTAAAAAGTACAAAATATTGATACATAAAAACCTGCCCAAAATTTCATAAAGATAGATGTACTTCTGTTTTTCCTAAAATCTTGATTACAAAAATGCACAAGAATTCATTATTTTCTAAATTTTACAGTAGGAATCAAATATTATCTAAAGTGGTCATTTAAGATTTTTCTTGGGAGAAAAAAAAAATCAGGGTTTACACCCGCATCTTCCTTTTTTAGTAATATTTAAAGAAATAAACTAGTATCATAAGAAGTGGTTGTGCATGGATTGTCTGCATCCATAAAATATCAGTAAGCTATGTGCTACCTTCATATTAGCATCAGTAAATGTGTGGTCTTTAAAAAAAAAAAAGAAACTGAAAAATAAGGTTGTATCTATCATTAAAGTGCTTTTTATAAAATTTAAAGAAAAATAGGGGAATGTTTAATTTTCATAAAACCTCGGATGAAAAATGTAATGATCCATGCATGAAAATGAACTGGAACTTTCCTGTAGTATATGTTTTAGAATGAAACTTTCAAACACTTAAGTGCTACAGAGAACAAGTTAGAAATGGATATAAAAATTATTACAAATATTTAGTAAGCTAAATATTTATAATGTGTTGGTACTAATTTGTCTTTTTTGTCCTAGCATACACTCACTAGAAAATCATATTTCTGTACAATCCAGATGAAAATTTTGTCAAATAAAGTGAAACAAAACTAAAGTCACTAAGATAGTCTTTGTCAATTAAAAATTGGTATTTTCTCCAGGTTCTTGATCCCTTTAATCAACAAATTGTTTGGAATATAAAATTTGCAACATCTTTGTAGAAACTGTAGACCAAATACACAAGATCAAGGGTGGTTAGCTGATGGACTGTGATGATGGCATGTAATGTCACAGCTACTTGAAAGTGCTGGAATAGGCAGTGCCTTAGAAACAAGTGGTTAGATGGTTATTATTTTAGTCAGAAAACAGCAGTTACAGTTGAATATTTATGAAATTGTTTTTCTTTTTTTTCCTCATAGTACCATTTGAAGGCGTTTAGTGGTTCTAACACCAATTTAAAGTCTTTCCACAAAAATGAACTCCAAACCTTTTCGTACATCACTTGAAGTTATCTGAGGAAAAACAGGAATAAATGAACACTTTTGAGTTTACCAATAAAACCTTGTTTTTAAATTAAACAATAGTAAATGACTTCTAAAGGATGGCTGCATCTCAAGTTTTCCACACAAATACAAAAATGTATGCTAATCAAACTATAACATTTAACCTACTCAGCACTCAAAACTAAGTATTTTGCTTTAGAACCTCTGAAACTAATTTAATATTCACTAAATACATTAAATGTCTTAATGCAAGGAACAACAGTACTGAAGGTAAACTTTTAAAATATACGTAGACTTGCAAAAACAAGTATAGGGAGTCTACTCCTTATTTTGTATTGCATTTTAAAAGTCTACATTTGTTCCAAAACCTTCTAAAAAAAATAACCTTTTTCTTTCTTCCAAACAAGAATTTTACTTTTCTTGTAACACATAACCACACACACAAAAAAATCCCTAATACTAACTATGTTGAAATGATCATCAAAAAGTTTATTAAACAGAAAGGAAAAAATAAGAGTATCTGGGACCTAAGTAATCATTGTTTCCAACAGTAACTAACACACATTCCCAAGGAGAAAAAAAATCCAAACATTTGTTTACCAATTTTTCCCCTTTGCTTGGAAGCACTATGTTAAAAGTAAATAATAAATGCTAATCATTCTAAATTCAATTTGGGAATTTTTTTTCTGAGTACAGCACTTTATTTAGCCGTCACAGATTAATTTTTACAATAATTACAGTCCCTGAAAAGAATTTTTTCCTATAATTATCGCCTTCACAAATTCATTCTAATATATTTAACTTTCCTACAATGCATTAATTAGTAGACTAAGTCACTGAATCAAATTAAACCTGTGCAAAGTTAGTTAAACAGAAGACTTCTATTGTAAACATAAGCCAATATAGATGTATATATTTTACAACATTAAAAGGAAAGCACTGACCCTGTGCCATCTACCTATAACTACATTACATTGTCCTGTGGAAGATAAGTTATGAAATTAAATTTTGTTCCCAAGCCACTGGAATAAAGGTCACTGTCTAAGAGGTAAATGCAATATGCACATTACTCTTGCAGTTCCCATTGCCATAAGATATATGGAAGTAAACATGTTAAAATAGAACCAGCTATAAATTATGGTCAAATAATTTTTTTTTAGTTCGATGGGGGGAAAAAAGCAAAACTCTGTAACTGTTCCTCACCAGACAAGAGCCTTAGATCTTGTACTTCGGCCTTTGGTTTTGTTTCCTTCAGGTGAATTGGAAGCATTTGCCTTATGAGTTTTCTTATGATGTTCAAGATAAGTCTTTTTGGCAAATGCCTTTCCACATTTATTGCATCTGTGAAGAGAAAAGTTTTTTGTGACTTTTACTTCAATACCGACGTCAGCTACTTCATACTTTTTACTAGGAGAGTTAGAAGTGCCATCATGTTTTGAATCACTATGTTTTGCTTCGTCTCTCGAAGGGCCTCTTTTTGCCACTTTATTTAGAACAAAATCAATGGGCTTTTTTATAGCTCTGATCTCTAAACTGGCTGTTATTTTCCCAAGATAGCGAGATGACTTTTTATGAACCACAGTTATATGACGTATCACATCGCGCTTCCGACGAGTTTCATAAGTGCAAAGAGGACACTTGTAGAATTTAACATAAATGTTATTTCCATCTGTGTGCAACTCAATGTGTTTAGTCAAGTTCTGTTTAGAAGTAAACTGACGTTTACAAAGTTTACAGTAAAGTTGCTTAAAGTCAAAGCCAGCTGAAAGTTTTGGTTTCCTGGTTTTTTGCTGGCCACCTGCAGCCGATGGACTAGTTGATTTAGGGCTTTCAGAGTCTTGTTTAACTTTATTTTTCTGTGCTGCCGGTGTGTTCTTTTTTTCATTTGAATGATTTGTTCCCTTTAATTCATTCTGTGGAGAATGGGTAATGGAAGGGGGTGAAGATTCTACAGAATCTGCTGGTTCAACTTTAACTTTTATTTCTGAACTGTTGGCAGTATTATTAGGGCCTTTCTCTCTTTTAGAGTTTGTTCCAGAAAGAGTTATCTTGTGGACAATTTGCATATGCCTTTTAAGCATTATTTGTGAACTATATTTTCTCTTGCAAAGGAGGCATTTGCATGCAGTTAAATTGTATTCAGCCTTTGAAGACGACTTTTGTTTTCGAGTCTTAAAAGATTTTTTAGGAGAAATAGAATCCAGGAACAAAGGTTGCCCAGGCTTTGTTGCTATATCAGGAGTAATTGAATCCCTCCTTAGTCCTCTATGAACTTCATCAAAATGCCTCCTTACATTCGCTTTTGTAGCAAATGATTTACAACAAACTGGACAACTCCTACTTAATGGAACTAGAACATTCTTACTGCGTCCTTTAGAGGACTGGTTTGTATTCTTTCGTGTTTCAATGTACTTTTTTAGTTCTTCCATCTTTTTCTTGTGGACTTTTCGAATGTGACGACGAACACCTCGTCTAGAATTGAATTCCTTTCTACAAAGACAACATATCAACTGGTGACCAAAATCAGAATTGTCGGAAGTTTCCAAGTCAGCCTGTGATTCCTGAGGTTGTTCATCAGATGTAGGTACAACTTCATCTGCAACAATCTCAACAGGAGGGGGCTCTACAGTTTCCACCTCTGTATCTGTAACTGGTGCTGTTTTAGACTGTTCAGTGCTAGTTTCCTGTATTTGAACTTCGGTTTGTTCAGGAGTACTGCTTGACTCTGTGACTTCAGTAGGATTATCAGTCCTTGAAATATATTGAAACACTGCATTTTGATTAGTTTCTATGGGTTCTAGCTTAATAATATATTCTCGCTTGTCCACACTTGGATATATGGCTTCTAGGAGATCATTTATGGCTTGGCTTTGCTTATCATTTACATCAGGAAGGTCTGTTAAGAAAAAAAACAACATTTTAATCTTAAATAATTAGCCTTCTCTAGCCCTTTAATATTTTTAAATATATTATGAACCTCTACTTTAAAATGTATTATATACTGGTTAGAATTAGTTTTATAAGAACATTATCTACTTTTCAGTATTTTATGAAGATAAAAACGAGTATTAATTAAACTTAAATTACCCTTAACTTAAATTCTCACCATGATACCAAAGTATTAAGAAATAGGTGCAATCTGAAGAACTATTTCTGCTTTTAAGTGCCCCTTAATATAAAATATATAAGCACTTAGGTATCTTAAACAATAAAAATAATACTAGCAAATGGTAACTCATAACCCAGAATAGACAAAATATTATGAAGAATATTACTACATAAATAAAAATGATTTTTAGAAAACATAACAGCATTCCTATCAACTTAATCCATAATCTAACCTAATCTAGTCTATTTGAACATTTTACTGAAATGAAAAAGAAAGATTTACAAGCAAATACAAAAATCTTAATCACACAATATACAGAAGTATTTGCTAAATTCAGTACTATTACATGCCTTCTTAACGTGATACAATTTTACTGAAACAAATGATTAAAAACTACAGATTTATTCCAAGAATAGAGCTAGTTTTATTTACTTGCATAATCATTGTACACTCTATAGGCATCCAAATATCCTACTGTAACAGAGTGGTCTAACACTGGTTATGCCCCACATAAACTAAAATCTAGCTACAAATCTAGCACCAACCTGATATCTATTTAGAAATCAGGAAATGAGATTCATTATATATAGCTCTTCTAATCTATTCATCTTTCTTTTTAAAATGAATAACATAGTACATATAAGAAAAACTTTCATATTTCTAGAATGAGTATTGCCAAGAAGAGTACATAATAATCTAGGCAAATCCATTTATTTATTTCACTCTATAAATTAACTCTACAACTAAAAATAACAAAGAGTAACTACCAAAAAATAAACGTTGGGTTTTTTTTTTGAGAGAGAGTCATACAAAAAATAAACGTTTTTTGTTTGTTTGTTTTTTGAGAGAGAGTCTCACTCCATCACCCCAGCTAGAGTAACTACTGTCATCATAGCTTACTGCAACATCAAACTCCTGGGCTCAAGTGATCCTCCTGCTTCAGCCTCCCAAGTAGCTGGGACTACAGGTACACGCAACCATCCCCAGCTATTTTTCTGCTTTTGTAGAGACAAGGTCTCGTTCTTGCTCAGGCTGGTCTCCAACTCTAGAGGCTCAAGTGATCCACCCACCTCAGCCTCCCAGAGTGCTAGGATTAGTTTATTGGCCACCATGCCTGCCCAATAAACTAATTTTCTACCAGTACTTTAATTAAAAGGTCAAATTAGAAACTAACCTCTAGGGACTGCCTTTTAATTTATATCTCAATGATAAAAAGAAGTATAATAAGATTAAATAGCAGCAGGAAAAGTTTCCAAATACAAAATTTTTGTTTCTTCTATGCCATATAATATACTTTAAGCCAGCTTCATATAATAATTAAAGCCATACTTTGTTATGTGGACATTGCATTTCATGCCCATCTTAAAAAGGTTAAGTTGAAAAATGTAAAAAATCCACAATGCACCTATGGTATCAGACTGACAAAGGTCATTCTACATTTCCTAAGTCCACAAAGAGTTAACCCTAAAGAAAAAATAATGAAGTAACACATTCTTAAAATACTTTTTAAAATCTACATTAATTCTTTAGAGCAAGAATACCATTACATAAACTGCTAACTTAATCATACAGGGACAATACACTTAATTCAATAAACATCTAGTTCTACAAAGACTTTACATTAGTGTACCTGCCTTTGTCACATAAAGCTATTTTGGATCTCAAGTTGGCCTGTGACAAAATCTATTTTAATTTCTGATAAAATGACTGATCTAAATCAATTTCTCTGAGAACAAATCTGATTTTCAAATCAAAACCTAGAAAATGTTACAGAGATTAATAAAAGATTTTATAATGCTTTCCAGGATTCCCCAAAAATCAACTAATTTACTTATTGTTTGCTCTTTATTTCCAGCCTTATTTATAAGAGGAATCTACGTAAGTGATCAATTATATCTGGTAACAAGTTATGAAAGAAGTAAAAAGTAATATAAACTACATGGCCCACATAAACATTCAAAAACAATATCCAATATTTTAATACAAATAAATATAGCCTTAAATCTAATCTCTTATATGATATCCTTAGGAAAATCCAAGCGGAAAGTATTGATATGCTCTTATATTTTCCTGGTTAGAGGTAGAACCCATACTATAAGTGAAGTTTCCCAAGAATGGAAAAACAAGCACCACATATACTCACCAGCAAACTGGTATTAACTGAGCAGCACCTAAGTGGACACACAGGTACTACAGTAATAGGGTATTGGGCACGTGGGAGGGGGAAGGGAGCGGGTATATACATACATAATGAGTGAGATGTGCACCATCTGGGGGATGGTCATGCTGGAGACTCAGACTTATGGGGGGAGGGGGGAATGGGCATTTATTGAAACCTTAAAATCTGCACCCCCATAATATGCCGAAATAAAAAAAATAAAAAAAAAGAAAGTATTGATATGAAAGTACCTCCCTAAGAAACAGAATATTAATACTAAGTCATATATTTAATTTTATTCTCCATCATTAAATTTTCTGTAACTAAATATCACACCATTTTAATTTAAATATATAGATCCAGTATAAAAAAATTATAAAATGCATGAGTAAATATGTGAATAAAACTTACTGTCATCCATCTGGAGACTTGGTGGGCAGTAGAATTTTTTATGGGTAATTAAATTTGGTAATCCTCTGAAGAGACTGCGGCATAATTTACATTCAAAAATAGTGTCCACATCTTTTAATAAAATATGCTTAAGTTGTTTAGTTCCTGAGGGGAAAAAGAAAGAAAAACTTAACACAAAAGGTAACATGCACTTTTAAACTCAGCAACCACTGCTGACAATCCAAAAGCATAGCTACTCTGAAAACAAAATACAGGCATTGCCAATTTCTACCACACTATATTTAGAACTAAGTTATAAACTAATTCTAAGCAAAATCTTACTATCATTTGGAAATTAGGACAGCTAAAATTGATGCCCTTTTTCCATTTCAGCAGCCAATCAATTCTTAGGATATCCCAATGCAGTGGTTCCAACATCTGGTTGATCATTATAATGAGCTGAGAACAAAGATGTATGTAACCTCCCCTAGAGATTCTGATTCAATAGATCTGGAGTAGGGCAGAAAAATTAAATATTCCCCATCACTCTCTGTCAAACTTTTTGGCTAGCTCTTTCAACTCTTTTCTACATTAGAAAGTGAAGAAATTTTACAATACATTTCCAATGACTCCTTAAAGAAGGTGAAAACTGTATCACATGATTGCCTATGACTTTTCTTTTTAAATTCAGCTCAAACTACTTCAAGTTATGGGCCTTTATGGGATTATGGCTATTTAGTGTGATTCAGAAAATCTTTGTCCATACTGAGAGATAATTCTGAATTTTGCTTAGACCTCCTGATAGTACTATAAATTTATTCAAAGCCTTTCTCCCTTAAAACACCCCAACTGTAATTAATTATAGACATTATTACTAGTTTAAGGCCTGTCTTCTCTACTAGATTATAAACCCCAAAGCAGCCAAGACCAAGCCTATATTATTTACAAATACAAAGTGTTGTAATAATATTCAATAAGAATTTGTTGAAGAAATGCTACTGATCTAGGGGATTTAACATTATGATGGAAGATCTTTAGGCAGAGAAAAATAAATGACAAGCATCTAATTTTAAATAAAAACACCCACCAGAAATAAAACAAATGGAAGATCTTTTGTCACTACTCTCTACAGGTCTTTGCCACAGCTAAGTGACAAAATTAATCTACAGTGCTTTACTAATTAATGTGCCTTTAGTTTCCTCAAATAAAAGTGATAATATATTGACTTAAAGGGGAAAAGAACAAAGTGCCCCGGAAAACATCCTTAAGATTATTTAGGTACAAAGTGTTCTGTCATTCAACAAATATTTGACTATTAATCTCTGGTACTACTAAAGAGTATAAGAATAAACTATCTTAGTAGTATAACATTGTAGGGTCTGTAAAAGTTAAATTAACTCTGATTCAATCTTTTGCAATCTGATTACATTTAATTTCTGAAGTATATTTTATCATCATTTTGAAGACAGGTTAGCCCTCAAAATTCTACTGCAAAAAAAGGTTGATTACCAGGTTACCAAAATTTGACTATCTTTAGATATTCCAAATCTGATATTATCTAGTTGTGCAACTGTAAAGAGCTATATAATCTTTTCACTTTGGTTTATCCATCTTGTAAAACAGAACCAAATCTATCCTGAAGAACTATGAAAGAAAAAATGAACGTATATCCCTTAGAAAATTAAATTATACACCTGGGTTTCTACTAGGAAAAAAAATGTATATAATAAAATACTTTCCACCATTTCCCAAACCCAAATTTATGTTTATTCCACTATATTCTTATTACCACAAAATCAGAAAACATAAGTTTAAGAAGATTCAGAGAGTAACTTGAGTATTATTCTTTATATGAAAGTAAATTCTCATACATATTTCTCTAGTCCAGTTTATATTACAAAATAACTTGGCAATAGACTGCTAATATATTTAGTTCATAGTTAACCTCATGAGTAATTGACAAACTGTGAGAGGCAGACTGATTATATAAATGCTTTCGCTAAGCCTCTGTAATTAATCTATATATAGTTCTCAGAAAGTACAGTTGAATACAATACCAGTGGAGAGAAAACAGGAAATTTTTTCACTTTGATTCTAAAATAAAAGGCCTGCTGCTAGACCCATTATACAGATTCAATTCTTCCTTTAATGATGGTCAGAAAAGACTGATGAGGAACATAGAAAATAACCTGAACTAGGTTTAAGAATTCAACTGAAGAGGCAGGGCGCTGTGGCTCACGCCTGTAATCCTAGCTCTTGGGAGGCCGAGGCGGGCGGATTGCTCAAGGTCAGGAGTTCAAAACCAGCCTGAGCCAGAGCGAGACCCCGTCTCTACTATAAATAGAAAGAAATTAATTGGCCAACTGATATATATATAAAAAATTAGCCGGGCATGGTGGCGCATGCCTGTAGTCCCAGCTACCCGGGAGGCTGAGGCAGAAGGATCACTCAAGCCCAGGAGTTTGAGGTTGCTGTGAGCTAGGACGCCACGGCACTCACTCTAGCCTGGGCAACAAAAAAAAAAAAAAAAAAAAAAAAAGAATTCAACTGAAGAATTAAAAATAGTAGCAGACTTAAAGAATAAAACACTCAGTCTGTAAACAACATGAGGTTATATTAATACATAAAAAATAGCCAAGTGTAAAAATTTGGCTATATATAACACTGCATCCCTAAATCAGGCATATTGCTTTGTCTAACAGGTTCTCAATCACAGAAAAATAAAAACATTATCAATTTCTTAATTAGCCCTAGTTATACAGTTATATTCATAGTATATATTTATTCACAGTAAACATCCAAAAAGAAGTATTTGCCTCTAACCTTAACTAACTAATCGTAATTTATTAATCACAAATGCTTTCCCCACCCCACCCCACCCCACACCACACACAAGGTTATCGTTGATGCAGGCCTACCAAATTTCCTTCAGGTCCACAGATATATCAAATGTTCTCTCTCCCTCACTTTTCAGGTCTTCACCTTATGTTTATTCTCTCTGACTATAACATCCTCCCGATTTCCGGGTCTGACTTACTTCTAGTAATCCTTCAGATCCTAAGTTAGATGTCACTTCCTCCAGGAAGATGTCACCAACCTATTTTTTTGTTATTGTGAAAAATCTTTCACCTATACTCCCATGGCAGCCAATACATCTATGCTAGTTTATCCCACTACCTTGTAATTAATTACTTTTCTGTATCCCCATTAAAAACTGGAAGATCCAGAACAAAAAATGTATCTTTGATCCTCGCCATTGTATTCCCAGCCCTCAGGATAATGCTTGATTGGCATTTGTCAAATAACATATAGAGAGATCTATGTTTTAAAAAAAAAAAAAACCTTCTCTAAAAATAAGATTTTTTCAATCTATGTGAAGTTGACTAGGGAATCAAAAAAGGTACCTTAAAAGATTTTCTAATTCTACTTACACATTTTACAAATGAGAAAAATAAGATGTGTCCTACCTCATAAATACAGAAAATAAAAGCTTTTCCCTAAGTTAGTTTCAGTCACCATTTAAGGTTTTGTTATGTTTTTCCCATGTGGACAGAATGGCTTTATTCAAAATCAGCTACCATTTTCTAACTGTTATGCTTACTTACAATTAGACACAACCAACCAACTGCGTCTCTGTCAATACCTAAAATTTCCTGTCACCTGAGACAACAGATCATCTAGATGGCAACATAAAGTTCTTCCATAGCTCTTCATCCTGAGAAACGGAGAGCCATGCTGGCTTCCTCCCGATTATTCATTTTTCTATTTTGCTCTCTTTCTTGTCTTAGGTTTTTCAATTAGCTTAGAAGTCACTACTTACTGTTTACATTGATCATCCATCAGTACCTTTCAAATAACCAGTTTTCCAAAGAGCAAAGCTTTTGATAGCTAAAAATTAATTAATTAGTGTGTATCACAGATTCTCATACATTAATAGGTGCTCAATAAAAATTAGTAAAACTGGCCGGGCGCGGTGGCTCACGCCTGTAATCCTAGCTCTCTGGGAGGCCGAGGCGGGCAGATTGCTCGAGGTCGGGAGTTCAAAACCAGCCTGAGCAAGAGCGAGACCCCGTCTCTACTATAAATAGAAAGAAACTAATTGGCCAACTAATATATATAGAAAAAATTAGCTGGGCATGGTGGCGCATGCCTGTAGTCCCAGCTACTTGGGAGGCTGAGACAGAAGGATCGCTTGAGCCCAGGAGTCTGAGGTTGCTGTGAGCTAGGCTGACGCCACGGCACTCACTCTAGCCTAGGCAACAAAGTGAGACTCTGTCTCAAAAAAAAAAAAAAAAAAAAAAAAGAAAATTAGTAAAACTTCACCAAGGGTTTATCCTATGCTAGTTTTTAACTGCAAACACACTGCATATACTGATGAAAATGTTTAAACAATTTTTTAAAAAGGAAATCAGTATTCAATTTTACATTAGGTTACATGGCAGTCACTTTATAACATGACATAATATTAATTCTAACTCTTCTGTGCTAGACAAAGACAAGTTTTCATTTTTCCCTTAACACACTGACATTTTGGTCAATGACCATTACAAACTATAGCAGGAATGCTTTTTAAATGGTATACTGCTTGCCAATTGCCAATGGTATACTTCTGGCTCAATCTTCTTTAGGATTACTGTTTAGCCACAGTACCATCCCAACATTGCAAGCAAATCAATATGCCTGGTCAAACTCCTGAAGGAAATTTCTAACTGATCAACCCTTAACATAAGTACTCAAAGATACAAAGAAAACTTAAGAAAATTGAAATTGTTATCTTAAAACTACCACCTGTAAGGGTTGGTTAAAAAAATGTATATACTAGGTTAATTATGGAACACTGCCACATACCACAATAAATTTGTAAGTAGAACAAAATTATTTTAGAACACTGCCTACTTGGTGAATCTTTTAGTTTAATCTAACATACATTTATTGAGCATCTATTAAATACCAGGTACAATGTTACTCACAGAAATGTGAAAGCGAAGGATATGGTCTGTGCCTCTGAGAAACTCACAGACCATATCAATGGCTGTCCTCCTAGGAACACAGCCCTAGATGATATACTCTGAAGATTAATGTAAGAAAAACAAATCAAACAAATTTACATTTTTATTTATCTCATTTTAAATTTCCTACAATTGCAACAACAACAAAAAATCCATCAAAGAATATGGCACTCTCCTATGAATCTCAGATAAATCATACTTCCATCCTAAGCTTTTGCCTACAGAGTCAGGACTGAGATATCACAATTCAGTCACAGTTTGCACTAATTACTATTAACGTGGCTTTAAGCAGTAAGGGAAAAAAAGACTAAGAAGGTAAATGACCAAACATAAACTTAAGAAGATTATGACAAAAACAAACATCACACAAAGCTAATTTTCATTTTTCATTATCATACTATAAAAGTTAAAATTCATTCCTCCCTAAGAATTAAAAAAGATAACATCCCTTGTAGACTAATATATTCTACATGAAGAATCATTTTTCTACAATATTATATATTTTCTTTTCTTACAATATTATCAAGAATTTAAAAACATGATGTCAACTTTACATTAAAGACCAGTTTCGAATACTAGACAAAATAATTATCCTTTTCTTTCCCCTCCATTTTTCTGGCATTCCATGGATCTTTTACCTCTACCAAGTGATTAAGAGACTAAGAAAATATTAAATTCAATTAAATCAATTGAATAAATGCATAAAAGATATTTATTTGTTATTCAAAATTTTTGTTTTGATTTGGTTTGGGAAGGGAGGTCAAGGAGGAAAGAAGATAAACTGAAAGTGTTAATAGAAAGGAGGGAAATTTGAAGATCCCAAATAACAGATGTGATCCTAACACAGCCAAGGCAATATTCCACAAAGGGCAGGGTATAGTCCCAGTAGTACCAGAACCTAAGGATTCAGAGCAAACAGCAGGTCTCAACCATCAGGGATTTCAGAGTAGAAAATCTGCAGATGCAAAACAGGCAGCCTTCTAAAAAAAAAAAAATGAGGCATCTATCTTACTGATGTCAAACAATAGTCAAATCTCCAGTTAATAAAGCAAATGTGCACAAGAGTGTGCAGAGTCAGCTATCATGTGTATTGGGAAGAAAATGAGAGATATTATGTCTGTATAGGTATAAAAGGTCTCTGGAAGAAGACACATAAAGCATGTAGCAGTGGTTGCCTGAGCAGAGGAGCAGGAAGACAGAAAAAGATAGAGACTTAGTTTTTGCTCTACATCTTCTCATACTTTATTATTTTTGTAAAACCACAGGTACATATTACTTATTATTAAAAAATCTGTTTAACTTAATTTGCAAGTCAAGCAGCCAGAAATAAAGAGATACCAGAGGTTGAGAAAAATTTGCAATTTAAAGCCAGGAAAATAGTCCAAAGTGAACACTGAAGTGTAAGGCAAAGAGAATGGGCTAAAATTGGTCAAGCACCCAGTTTAGCATACACAGCTGGTGGACCTTAAAAATGAGTCAACTCTTTCCTCAGACAGAAATGTTTTATGAACTTCCAGCTTAGACAGGAAGTAATACCAGGTCATGGACAGCCCAGTGTAGGTGGGAAAAGGTGAGAAAAACAGAGATGATACAGTAGCTAAAGAAACCATCTGAGCTTGAAGATAAAGGTAGATATCCCAACATATTACTACTGTCCAACCTGATTTAGCCTGTAGGTTAACAAGAACAAAAGCATAGACTTTTGAGTTCTATCTTCAAATACCTGTCGAAGATACTGTCACCACCAGGATGGTTCTTTAAATGCAATGTGTGTGACCTAGTTATAATGAAAAGAGACTAGAAATAGATGAATCATTGAGGGTGTGCTTGGAAGCAGAGTGGAACAGGGAGGAACTGACAGTGTCAGGGTTAGAAGGGATCTCTGTTCTTAAGTTATGTAGCCCAAATTTCCATAACCATTTTCTTAAGGTTTTAGTCAGTCTCAACTTAAATACTTTAGTGCTAAAGAACAGCTACCTTAGTAGACTACTTTTGATTGTCCAGATAAACAAGAGATTACTATCTTGAGGAAATTAAAATTTCTTAGTTATAGGACACAGTAGTAAAGAATTCATTTTTTAATCCAATTAGTTCCTCTGTACTGCTCAGCATATTGCTAAATCATCTCTAAGCTGTTGGGTACTTAGACAATTAAAATAATAGTATTTTCAGAATTTGCCTACAAAAAAAATAACTCAAAAGGCAAATTTGCTGGGGACATTTTAAAAAGAACATATTTCAAAAGATCAACATAAATGGTTTTGGAATTGTACCATTTCAGATTACCTGTTTCACTGTCTCTCTTCTTTAGCTTAGATGGTAAAAAAATGGCAAACACAGAAAACCAATATGACCACAATGAAATAAGAAAACAATTAATTCAGCCTTAAATATTTATTTTCCAAAATTTAAAATTCTATACACTAATTTTGGGTATAAGATCTTACTGAGAAGCCATTTTTTTAATAAGTCAAAGCATTTATGAATTAACCAAGTCTACCTTCTTTATCAAATAACACTATAATAAACTGACGCAGTATGAAATAACTCTAAATTATGAATTTTAAAAAAGAAACCTATAACAAGTAATATGACTCAACATAAAAAGCTATTGCCCTCATTTCCATGGTATAACGAAAAAAAAAAGAACTTTAATCTCTATTCTAGAAGTAGCCAAAATAACCAGAAACTATTCTTGTTATACCAGAAATGTAAATTCTGTCCTTAATAAGTAAAATTTTGATTGTATTTATCATAGGAGAACTTGACATAGAAATTATTTCTATTAACCAAGGGAAATTATCAAAAATGAAAAACAAAAAAATACCCTAAAATAGCTTATACCACCATCCAACATACAGATAGGTACATGGTATACACTGAATACTTACTGAATTAAATATATATAAAAGCAATGCCATGAGGACTAAGATGAAAAGCCTAAGAAATGGATCTTAAAAAGTCAGAGGAAAAAAAATTTTTAATTTAGATTAAGGGGCAATTTATTTCTAAGAATCCTCAAGTAAAGCAAATATATGCTTTCCCCCCTTACTATAATTTAAAAACAGGCAACTGAAGAAATTTTTCTGATGGATACTCCATTACCCTGATTTGATTAATACATATTGTATGCCTGTATCAAAACATCACATGTACCCTGTATATACAACTAGGATGTACCTATAATTAAAAATTTCAAATTTAAAAATATTTTTTAAAAGAAAAAAAGGAATTTCTCATCAATACAAGTATTAATAGTTACAGATAAATTATCTTTTCCTTTGAATCTCAGAAAATTTTCATTAAGGTAGTAGCTTTAAAATAATGATAAGATATTCTAATCTTTTAAGTGTCCACTGGTTAGGTTATTATCAGTCATGTTTATTTGTTTGCTCATATTTGACTGAATAGTCTGTAAGGTCAGAAGAGCCAAATCTACAATATGTGGACAAGTGGATCATAAGAATCAAAGGAACCTAAGATTTCACTGAAAACAGGAGTTTTAACAGTTCTCAATATTTATATGTCATAATACCTATTTGCTGAACTGTAACTATACAAATTTATTTATTATACAGCCAATTTTTATAATAAGCTAATGGAAATAAAAGCTAAACAAATGTATCTGAAGATACCAGGGCTGGACTATGTCTTTTTTCAATCTTATGCTCTATTAAAAATATTGAAACTCCAGAAACTCCAGTGTTAGGCAGGAGGTGAATCACATAAACAGAGATGATAAGGTAATTAATCTAGAGCAAGCAACCTCTTAGACATTCTGAGTAAATAATCTACTGGCCAAAGCTTATAAAAGCCCCAAAATAATTTATTGCCTTTTGAGAATTTATAAAAAACATGCCAAAAGATAACAATGGATCTTTAAGAAGTGCTATAACAACAGATATACCACATATTTATTTAAGCTATACTAAACAAATTTATTTTAAAATTAATATACATAGCACTAAGAAGACTATCTAGACCAAGTCAATAGTTATTCACCCACTTTTTAAGAATATAACAATTCAAGATATTGTATAAAAATATACATTTTAATACTGTTAAAAATTATTTCTAAGGACTTCTAGGTAGTTTTTAACTACTATATGAAGATTGAGAAATACATCCTAAAACATTCATACCTGATCGAAAGCACTCAATTATTTGTTGAATACCAGATTTGGATGTCTGTAGTGGCTGCTGTAACAAAGGAGGATCTCCAGGTTCCAGGATATAAACTACATGGAAAACAAACACCCACCCCAATCCCCACAAAAAAGGGTTATTTAAATCATTTACTCTTGAAGTACAACAATGGTTTGCTACAATTATGTTAAGGACAATCACACCTGTGTGTGTGAGTATACACACACACACACCCACTTATATATAAAATGCACCAGCATCTTTTTAAGGCAAAATGAAACAGGGAAAAAACCTAAAATTATTCTCGATCAAAGGCTAAATTAAGCCTAGATAATTAGGTTTCAATACAAAAACCTTATCATTTTGTTATTATTTAGCACACATTCTTCATGTTTGCCTTTTTATTCCCCTTGAAGAGGAAACACTATTTTTAATCAAAATTCTAAGGCAATGGTTGACTAGCCACACCTCATAAACTGTTCCAAAATCCTCTGAATAATCTGGTACAGCTCTCTGGACAGTTTAAAAGCAAAACTCAAAAACCAATGCCCAAGGAAGTAACTGGACGTGTTTACAATGATGGGTGTACAAGAATGTTCACTGTAGCACTCTGTACGGCACTATACACAATTGAGAGAAATTTCAAACAAAAGTCTCTCAATAGGGACAAGTCTAAATAAACTATGAAATAACCATACCACAGAATTACTCATGGCTGTTAAAAAGCATGAGATAGTTCTATGTGTATTGACAAAAAACAGTATGGCAATAATTGTTAAGCAACAAAAACAGGTTATAGAATGTGATCCCATTTACATGAATACATATTTAGACAGATACAGACATACTTAAATTTAATGTATATTTGTGTATATATGGATAAATGCTAATGTAAACAGAAAAATCTTAGAGGGATACCAACAAAATTTAATAAAAGTTCTGTCATGGTGAGTTTACAGAGATGATGTTTACTTTCTGCTTCACACTTCACTACTGCTTCAGAGCCCGGGCTTTTAGAAGTGTACATTTTAGAAAGAATACCTTTTTACAAAAAGTAAAAATAATTTTTTCATTTTAAAAATAAAAAATGTTTATGTTCATACACAGAGGTCTATATCACCCCTATCTTCAAAATTCTCAGGTTAGCAATATAAATACATAATAAATTAGATTATCATAGTATGTATCAAGGTAACTGAAAAGGAAAACTCAGTTTTTCCATCAGTTATCAAATAAAGACAGAAGGTTATGATGGAGAAAAGCTGGCCATCTTAGTTACCTCTTTTCTTAATATGCTAAGATATCACCATCATAACCTAAGTGTTATGGAGCTAAGCGTGAGGAGAAAAGAAGTGTCACGTCAATATGAGTGCCACTACTGCTTCAGGGCTTAGGCGTGGGCAGCATTTAGATTTCTGATCAGGAGGCTAAAGCCTGCCAAGCTATGTACATAGATGCAGCCTTAGATTCTCCCTTATGCTTCAAGTCTAGTTTCATTATATACAAACAGGAGGAACTATGTCTTAGGACCAAGTTATTTCATTAAGCAAAATTTCCCTAATCTTAAGAGATACTTCAGTGATATTTTAAATGAATTAAGAACATGGACACAAAACTCATTTTGAGAACATCTGACACTGGCACCAACCACAGTGACTAAAAACATAAGACTCCAGATCTAGACTACCTACATTTAAATTATTTTTTACCATTTACAAGACACAACTAGGGCAAATTAAACTCTCTGATCTCTCTTTTCTCACCTCTAAAATAGGGATAATGAAATTATCTAAATTATAGGGTTATGTAAGGATCAAATGAGCTAATGCAGGAAAAGTGCTTAAAACAGAGCCTGGGATACAGTAAGTGCTCAAGAAACATTCTATCATCATCATTATCATCATGTGTAAATCAACTGCTTTCCTGACACTGAAAACTGAAACATCTTTTTTCAAAAGCTAGGAGAAGAATTCAACTTCTTAGAAAAATAGCAGAAGTTTGTAAACATACTGATAATATCTATTTGAATTAGATAGATCTCTTTTCAGTATTTATACATTATAGCAAATGATAACTGTTTATAAAAAGGTAATAATAACTACAAAAGAGATGGTGAAACCCCACACAATTGTAAAGAACTAAACGCTTCAAGTTCTGGCTCTAAAAGTGGCAATTATTTTAGAATTGTAGAATGAAAAAACAGAAATGAATAATGGAGGGATATGGAGAAAAAGTGACTTCTCCTTAAAGCCAATTTCCTCATTTAGTATATGCTCCAGAAAACATTCTATAATATACCAACTTCCACTTCTGCATGACAGCACCTGATTTTAAAGCTACAGCAAAATTTTCATACCCATCACCCCCAGAACACAACTATCACCAGAATAGATACAGATCCTGAGACAAAATTCAAAATAAGCCCAGGGTTGGCTTAGCTGTGCATGAACATATTCAGTTGGTATACACATCTATGTGGCTCCCACTCTAAGAAACAATTCCTTGATCATTTGAAAACGTACTCTCAACTCTAGAAAACTTTATATATTACTATTTTATAAAATTTCTTCTTAAATATCCTATCATCAGACCCCAAGATCAAACCCATCCAGGGTTACACGACTATTTAGAAAACATGATCTCCTTCCAACCAAAAAACCCAAACCCTCAGAATATATTTTTCCTTACATCCTTCCAAGAACACACTTTCCAGAATATAATATACACTTTTGTAGGGGTCTATCTTATCTTAAAACAAGCCCCTTAAAAGATCCTTCTACTTATAATGTCTAGGAGTTGTTTACAAATAATGAGGGTGGGGCAGTAGGTGGAGGGCAGAGAAGGGAATTGTGGGGGAAGGGGAGAATACAGAAGAAAAGAGATTGTCCACGAACTGATAATTGATGGAGTTGTGTGATGGTTACACTGGGTTCCTTATGCCATTCTATTTCTAAAGATTTGAAAATTCCTATTAAAAAAAAACCCTCAAAACATAACTAAGAAAATACTTTATATACACTGACAGACTTGTTAACACTACCCTCCTCTTCCCTATAAATTGACCCATCTCATCAAGGCACAATGGCCTCCTCAGGAATACACCGCTCTTATCTGGGGACTCACCCACTCACTGTTCATAATCCAAATGAGGAGAGAATACTTGAGACAGCCCATTAAAAGAATTTCTCAAATATCTGTCATCTTCTTCTCTCCATCTGAGGACATCCTCTTTTAAAAACTATCACACCATATTTCTTTCAGTCCTGGAAACATCCACTCAGCACACATCTTCCCCTGAAATAATGACAATGAACTACCCTATAAGTTAATAAACTTCTAGATTTCCATTGAACTAAATCCTAGGAAAGTGTTTAATTCTAACTAAGAAATTACTGCTGACCTGGTAAGTGTAAAAACTAACCTACATGGGAAAAGTTTCTGGTAAAAGTCGATGAAAATTTTAAATTAATGCAATTTATCTGATTTCTTGTTAATCAGGGAGAAAAAAGAAACAAAAACATTCCAATACATATTAAAAAGTTCAACTCCAGAAAACATCTTTAATAAGATATTAAAGGCTCTAGAAAGCTTGAATTACTAGAATGTACTAAATAAGGTATGGTCACAAATTATCTTGTTTTACTTACTTATGTCTATCTCTTCCTATTCAAAAGTTTTACAAGGGAAGGACCTTATCTGTCTTATTCACCACTTACATTCCCAGTGCGTTGGCCAGTGCCTAGCACCTAAGATGTGTTCAATAATAATTTGTGAAAGAAATGAATGAACAAATAAACTTCTTCCTAAATAGGATGATTTCATTAACTTAATTCAACTTAAATGAGTTGAAGTGTTCTCAGAAAAAAAACTATAACTAAAAGGTCAGTGGAAAACAAGAATAAAAGGCTTCCATATCCTTTTAGTTCAAAACAAGCAAACTCCATCCAACATGTGGTAAAACATAAGGGATATGTCTTCACTTCAAACACACAAAATACCCACTGTAAAAGGTACTGAAAGTTAGATAGGTCAGGAGCAGTTGAATACAAACTGGATCTCCCAGAGGACTACCTGTTTTATTACTATGGGTAAGTTATTACTGATCTCAGCAAAGTACAGTAGAGTTAGGGTTGTAGTACAAATTTTATTCTCATGTATGGCAAAGTTTTCTGAAAACAGAAGCTCTTCCCCTTCACCACTGACATTTGTTCTCATTAATCAGAAAATTGCCCAAAATGAACTCTACTGTGGGTAACACCCAAGCATGTAAGTTCAAGTAAAATACTCCAACAAAAAGCAAGCAAAAGTACAAAAAAAAAAAAAATCCCAGTAACTTTTAGGTCAAAAATAATGATAAACATCTGTCTTTGAACTAGAATAGCACAGCCTTTATTTAGTGAGAGTATGTATTCAATGATTCCCTTTTAAGTTGTACCTCTAAATGTCACAAAGCACATGAAAGTTCTAAGTAGCAAAAACTGTCAATAGTTTACATATCACATTTATCAAACTAAAGTTTGCTAATATTCTTCATGAGACTCTTTTAAGCAACTTATTCATTTTGTAAGTTCAACTAAAAAATAGTTTCATTGACTCAAATACCCTACAAATACTTATATATTCTATCTAAAGAATCAGGAAATTTTTCTTTTATTTTGTAATATAATATGTTGTGTCCAAGAAATTTTAAAAGGCTGTACTTAGCAAAACCTGATTATCTCAATGAGTTGAACAAACCTTTTAAATCCAAACAAAACTCACTTTTAGGCTTTCAGCACTATTATCTGACAAAAAGTTAAGAAACTTTAATTTTTAAAGTTCAAATGAAACAATTTTCACAAAGATAAATGCTAACATTCCACTATCTATCTTTTCCTCTCTCTTCCGTTTTAAACATTCACAGAGCATATACTACTAACTGCAGGTCCCTTGAAAGAAAAGGGAAAAGGACTGAGTGGTTGATCTCGTGGAAATGATTTAAGGTGACACTTGTAGTACTTTTTTTAAGGGATCAAGCAAGGGAGACCTCTTGTTTGTACAAGCTTTTAGCTTCATAACTGGTTTTATGCTGGGGAAAATTATGGCCTGCTTTACTTAGGAATGACTTCGGGGGCAGGAGGAAAAGAAAACTAGAAGGAAACAGAAAGCAGAGTAGCTCTGAGGGAGTTCAAAGTAACTGGGGAAGAAAAGGGGTATACCTGGTTCACAGCATCCGTGATGATGGTGGTCAGTCTGACAGTATTTGTCCCTTAAAGGCATTTTCAGTGGGCGCGACCTACTTTCCCTTCACTGTGAGAAGCTCTTCATTGCGGCGCGGCTGTTGAAAGAAGCACAAACCCGTTCACTCACCCTTAACTTCCTGGGGGGCTCTGGCTGCATTTTCCAGATACGTTCCCATCACCCGCCCTCCGCTTTCTCCACACGTTCCCGCACCTTCCCCTCAAAAAGAAAGCAGAAAGACGCACGAACCCTTCTCCAGCCCAAACTCTGCGCACAGGTTCACAACCCTACCCGGAAACAGCCTCGGGTGCGCAGCGCAGGGCGAAGGCCTGGCCGGCTGCGCGGGCGGCTGCGGCCTCTCCGTCCCGGGCAGGCGGGCGAGCGCGCGGAGAGGGAGGCGCGGTGCGCGGCGGGCACAGTCGGGCTCTCGGGCGACCGAGGTGCCGCTCCCGCCCAAAGCCAGCCCACGCCGCGCCCTCCCGCCACGCACGTGCGTTGGGGTCTTTCTGGCGGAGCCCCAGTCCCCACAACCAAGTGCGCCCAACTTACTTAACTCCGAGGGCGGGCAGGCGGAAGGAAGGCCGGCCCGGCGGCCGCGGGGACAGCCTGGCGTGGGAGGCGGCTGCGGGCCCCACCTGGCGCAGCCTCCGCAGACCCCGCAAAGGCAACGGGGTTAGGGCCCGACGCACTCCCAAAGAGTCCCCGCCGGCGCTGACGCGGAAGCGCCACAGCTCACCACGTCCCTCCGCGGACCCAGGCGACGGCGGCGGCGGCTCACGGCGTCCCTCCGCGCTGTGGAGCTGGGCGGGCGGCGCGCGGGCGCAGGCAGTTGACAGGAGGAACCGCCAGGCAGTAGCCGCCGCCGCCACCGAAGGAGCCGGAACCCGAGCGGGCAAGACCTGAGGCGCCCTTCACCGGGGCAACGGCTGCCGCTGCAGCTCGGCTCCCCCCGGCGCCGCTCCACCTGCAACGGTCCCTCAGGCTTTTGGAGAGGGGCGGGGAAGAATGGGGGTTTCCCCCCACCTTGGGCCTTTTTGGTAGTAGTTGTTGTTTCAGGAAACTTTATTAAGTCAGTCTTTCTCTTTCTCTGTCTCCCCTTCCCCGGAGAGCCCGAGCTACCGCCGTGAAGCGGCTAGAAAGGGGGAAGCAGAGACTCTCCGGCAGCGACAGGGAGCGACTGACTGACCCCGGACGGAGATGGGGCGAGGGCAGGAAGTGACAAGCTCACAGAGTGGGTGGGGGGAGTGTGGCCGGCACGCCCGGGAGCGCCACGCGCATGCGCCCGGCCGGCGCCCCCGCCTGTGGGGAGGCGACGCGCGCGGTCGGCTGGGGGAGGGAGCCGGGGCCGGTGGCTGGGGACCGCGGTGGGGTCCCAGGCTGGCCCGTCCTCCCACCGGCGCCGACCGAGAGCCGAAGCCCTAGGCGGCGGCGCGCGCCGAGAGGTGTGAGGCCCGCAGTGCGGTGTCCACGCCATAGAGACGCGCTGCTCAGCCACCAAACTGTTGCTCTCGCTGTTCTCCTTCCAGTGGAACGGAAACTCTGGGAGGGCTGGCAAAGCACGCGAGAGAACTGTAGGAAGAGGTTGGCAGATGTATGAGCCGTAAGTAGTAGTGAACCCGAAAAGGCTGTCGAAACACTTATCAGCGGCAAAAGTCGAACTTTGTTCTTCAAGCCAACAGTTTCGAAGTGTGCCTCCCGAACTTGGGGAGTCTTTATCAGGCCTTTGGGAAGAAAACGATCTAGGGGTAGTAGATCGCTGTTGATCCCTGCGGCGCTCGGCTCTTGAGACCTGAAAGCGAAGTTGGGTCACGTGGTCTGTACACACTTTCCCTCCTCTTCGGAGCACGCGTCCTGCTTGGAAAATCCCGAAGATCGCGGTCGTCTGTCAAATTCTGCAAGCCTAGGGCCTCGTATTGGGGACAGTGGAGCCGCCTCCGCCGCCTTTTCCCCAACTCCTGGAACGGAATTCTTGCTCTTAGTAATGTCAAGCGATTATGTGTCTGCTGTCGGTCGTCAGGAGATGTTAAGAGCGAAGAAAGCCCATTCGCCTTATCTCCCTCTCCCCGAGATCCACCGAAAATCTTCGCAGTTGATAACTTAAGCTGCCAGCTTGTGGGTTCTTGAAAAAATAAGTTTAGGAGAGAGGCTCCGTGTGCCTTGGAAGAGAAACTACGAGTCACCGAAATCCGTTTTCAAAATCCAAAGGAAAGTTTGTAAATGGATAAATTTGTTACTGTAAAAACGTTGAATGGAGTATTTACATAGGTCTTGAGGGATTGTAGCAGCTTGATTAGGGAGGGTGACAAGAAAGGGTTAGAAAAATTATCTACACACACTAACCAGTCACATAAGTAATATGCATGATTGTATTATCTGTCCCATTGTCAAGAAGCATCACCTAACGTCAAACTAAAGTATAATGAAATGCCAGTTTATAAATCAACATAAAATAAACTATGATACTTGCATATGATGGTGTTCATTATGCAAACAATAAAAATCACATTTTGTGTAATAGTTATATGGAACGTGCTTAAGAAAAATTTTAAGTATTTTTGAAATATGACACTTGCTAACAATGGGCTGCAGCAGTGGAATTACACGTGATTTTTATTTATGCTTTTGTATACTTTGCAAAATTTGTAAATTAAACAAAAACTTTAAGAGGAAAAATTTTAAAAGTCAAGAAGGCTGTAATGCTGTGAAAATGGTATAGAATAATAAAGCACAAAAGTAAAATACAAAATTAAATATACATTATGAATGTCACTCAAAATGCAGTGAAAAAAGACTGAAAGGAAAGGTAAAGACAACATTGGAGATCACTGAGTAGTAAAATATGAAGTGAAATACTTTCTTCATTTTCAGAAGATCTAATTTTAGATAATAAGCATATTTATCATAGGTTAAAAAAATGAATATCCAGTTCTAAATTTCCATAAACCTGAAAAGGCTTTGTTTCTGATATGTGAGAGTTGTTTGCTGACCAGGTGTGAGTAAAAACAAAATTTTTAATGGTCTGTGAGTAAATGCAGTGTTATTTATACTCCATTTCAAAATGGTCAATATTAGAGGGTCCTCAGAATTGCTTGCTAGATTGTCTAGACAGTCTAGAATTAGAGACAAAACTTAAGTGTGCATGTCGGTAAAACAAGTATTAACCACTTCCGTACCAGGGTCGACTACAGTTTATAGCTGCAGATGAACACGCACAGCGACTTTAGCCGACAGCCGTGATGTGAAGGCACACAGCCGAGTATCAACTTTAGCCGACAGCCGTGATATGACTTTTCTAATTTTTCATTTATCAAAATAAAATTGTAAACATTTAAAAATAACATAATGAAAACATATGTATATGTCACCTATTCTGATTCACATTACAAGTAAAGCTGCCTGTAAAATAAAACAAGCTTTCAGTGCTTTAAAGCTTGCCTCATCACACAAGAGCAAAATGGATTCATCGTCAATGCACAGCACAAACTATCGTGTGGACTATGAGTGCTGGCTGTAGGCGAGGTTTCACAGCCGGTGAGCACTGTGAAGAAGTGGTTAAATACTGAGTAACAGAATTTTAAAGATAAAAATAAACCATGCAGGTTATCTAGTCAACCTTATGTTATAAATGGGAAAACAGGCCCAGAGAGATTGAGTTATGGTCCCTAGGTCAGTCATAATAGTACTGGGTCCAGTTACTCCTTACTATAGTAACAATGCTAATATTTGACATGTGTTTAGTTATTTTTAATCTAAACTATTAACTCATTTAATCCTATCAACAGTCCAAAGAGGTTTTGCTTATCCTTCCGTTCTATAGGTGCCGAAACTGAGGCAAAGAAGAGGTTAGATAACAAATCAAGATTACAGCTGATAGGCAGCTGAGGTGGCATTTGAACCCAAGAAATTTGGCTCTGGAACTCATGAATTTAGCCATCATTCTGTATTGCCTATAGTGTTACCTTCACTATGCCATAGCAGTTTAGGATCACATTGTATGTGAAAGATGAACCAGCAGATCCTGCCAATTGTGAAAGGTATTATATACTAAAATGCTGTGTGTATGTTCATGAAGTGGAAGACGGAGTTACTAAATCACAAGAATTTCATTGAAATTTCATAGGTCTCTAGAGTTTAAAGGGACTTTGGACATCATCTAGGATTATCACCCTACTCTACCTCTAAAAACAATGCACACAAACCATCCCAGAAAAATGATCTCTACATTTCTTTCATCTTTCACTGCAGCAACCTAGATAACACATTAAAGCATTACTTTTTGATCCTTAACCACTTTGGTATGGCGCTCACTGGCCGTGAAACCTCGCCTACAGCCAGCACTCATAGTCCACACTATAGTTTGTGCTGTGCATTGACAATGAATCCGTTTTGCTCTTGTGTGATGAGGAAAGCTTTAAAGCGATGAAAGCTTGTTTTACTTTACAGGCAGCTTTACTTGTAAATCAGAATAGGTAACATATACATATATGTTTTCATTATATTATTCTTAAATGTTCACAATTTTATTTTGATAAATGAAAAATTAGAAAAGTCATATCATGGCTGTCGGCTAAAGTCGACACTCAGCTGTGCGCCTTCATATCACAGCTGTCAGTTAAAGTCGCTGTGCGCATTCATCTATGACTATCGACTATAGTCGACGCTCTTACCTAAGTGGTTAAGAGCCTGGAAGCACGTCTTGATGCTTAACCTAAGTCCATGTTATAGTTTAAAATTGTCTTATCCTCAAGGTAAGAATGTATCACATACACATATATATGTATGCATATAAAGCATATTCCTGCTGTATAACAAATCACCCAGAATAAGTGGCTTGAAGCCATTGTATGTGCTCTCATTTCTGTAGATCAGTAATCTGGGCTGGCCTTGTCTAGTATCAATCATGCAGATTCTACAGTCACCTGTTGGCTTGACTGGGTGCATTTGTATGGCTGGAAGTTGGTGTTGTCTATAGGGACCTCCTGTAGTTTTTCATCCTGGAGGAGACTAGCCTGGGCTTCCTCATCTGGTGGAAGTATGCCAAACCAGTAAAGAATGGAAGCTCTAAGACCTCTTGAGGCCTTACGCTCAGAAGTTATATGACACCATTTCCACCACATTCTGTAGGTCAAATCAAGTCAAAAGACCCACACAGCAGGAAATGTGGATTAAAACTCCCCTCTTGCTGGGAGGAGCACCAAAATCACATTGCAAATGGATATGCATACAGGAATGGGAGGAATTAGTGTGATGATTTTTTAATACAATCTATCACAATATATATAATTCAAGAATTATGCTAGCTCATTGAAGCTTCTGATTTTTTTTCTCATGCATGATGATGCCTTTAAGAACAGCAAAACAAGAAAACAGTTATATTTATTCTTAAACTGACTTAGTCAGTTTGGTGGCCATCTATGATTAAACTTTGGTAATTCTGTAACTTTCTCACTGGACTTGTTTTTCTCATCATGTTGTTGCTTTCTTTAAGATCTATTCCTAGTTTAACATCTGTTCTAAACAGATTCCACTAAACACAGCATAAGACCTAACATCAAGTAAAAATAATTATAGTTCATATAGGACCTATATACCCTGGTTCATATTTTGCTAGCTTTGATTATGTTGTGACATTGTACAACACATGATTAAATCCAAAATTATTTAGAAAAATTAAGGGCCAAGATAGGGCTAAGAGTTCAGAAAGGGTCATGAACAAATTGATTTAGGAGGACAAATATTAAACTGTTAATCTATTATCAATTATATACAGTTTAACACTTAATATTGTGCAAACGTCATAAGATGAAAAAAGAAGATAATGCTTTCCCTAAAATGCTTGTTTTAAGGAGGGTAGGAAGTAGGATATAATTGGGTTGCTGCCTTGGAGAGAAGCTGCCTTCTGGGGAACCTCTAACATGGGCTTGTATCTTCCATCATTCCTGGAGCTAAAGGCACACTTTAGATCTTGCTGGCCAAGTGACATAATGATGAAAGCATCATGCTGTTCTGTGGGCACCAACCTATACCTTACAGGTCTTTCATTCAAATATATTTCATATAGCCAGTAAGTGAATTCCATGAAAAAAATAATGGTTTTTGTTTTAGTGGGGTTTTTAAACAAGTCTGTATTACAATCAGTCTTCTAATCCCAAAGTTCATTTCTGAACCACTGCAATAACCACTTCTGTGGTCTCCCCAGCACCAATCTCTCCCTCGCTCCAATATTCCACACTATCAACAGAAATATAGTCCCAACAACTCCGATGTTGCTCCCCAGGTCAAAACCTCTTTTGCCTGCTAATTAGGTAGATAAATAAGCCAAATCTTAAAAATAAGCATTAGTAAAAGGAGCATGTGTTTTGAAGTCAGAAAAAAATCTGAGAGTTCTATTTCCATCACTTAAGTTT